CTGTGAGGAAGTGAGTAGCAATTTTGATAGAGGAAAGCCAGTGGACATAGTTTACCAGGATTCTGCTGAAGCGTTCCACACAGTACCCCATACACGTGTAATTTACAAACTACGGTCTTCAGTCATTGACAAAAATGGTGAGTACATGGAGAGAAAACTGGATATACAAACAGGTCCATAGAGTATCAATAAATGGTTAATTTTCTAAATGGTCTATAGTTGTGGGTGGTGTGCCCCAGGCTAATGCTGTAACCTGTTTATTAATGATATTGAGCTTGACATTAATAGTTCTATTTCGGAGTTTGCTGATTTAGATTGCAAGCCCTCACAGGCTGGGCCCTCCTTACCATCTTGTCTTGCATTTTATTGTAATTGTAATGTCTTCCTTATATTGTAAAGCGCTGTGCAAACTGTTGGCGCTATATAAATCCTGTATAATAATAATAATGATACCAGAATATTCAGGCTATTCAACTCTACACAGGATGTAGCAACATTACAGGAAGACCTGGATAAATTAGGGGGTGGGCAGCCAACTACATGGCATATGAGGTTCAAATTGAAAAATGTAAAGTTTTGTATTTGTGTGCTAAAAATATACATCTTGCGTACACAGTTAGGTTTTAGTCACCGATCTACAGGACAGATGTCCTTGAACTTCTGGAACTTGAGAAAGTCCAGAGAAGAGCAACAAATTGCATAAGGATGATGGAGGACCTACGCTATGATGAAAGATTACAAAGACTGAACTGTTTCACTCTGGAGAGGCATTTGAGGGGATATGTTTGCAATGTACAAATTATTTAATGGTGATGGTAGAATCAATAATAAGTAGACTGGAGGAAAAAAGATTTAATCTACAACTACACAGGGGATTGATTACTGATAGAGCAGTAAAACTCTTCTGGGTCTCGTCATCTCCCACGTGAAAACAGTTGCAAAAAAATAAGGCTGCATACCGCTGTTTCACTCTGCTGCAAAGTAACTTTATTAGAACAAGTGGACAAAGCACTCCACAGGCTGTCTTTTTTTTGTGCGTTTCTCACCCTAGTGGCGTTTAATCATAGAGTCCAAGTCTTATTAGGGGGTGGAACGAGTTGTGGAGTGCATTTGTGCATTTGTTCCAATAAAGTTACTTTAAGCAGACAGTAGTGTACTGCCTAAATATTTTATATTTTTAAAGCCTTTCTTGTCCTGCTTTAGAGAGAAAATCCTTCAGTTAAAGTGACATTAAAGGCGTTTTTCGTTCACCCCAAAGTTAATTAAAGCACTTACCTTTAATTATGCCTCTTAATCCGATCTTCTTCTTTCCTGATGTCTCCAGCCTTCTCTTCAGCACTGCGTCGGTTGTCCGATCCAGGGCTGACTCCTCTGGGCTTGCTGGCACTTCCTGTCCCACGGTGTATGCATGCGGGTGCACGCGTCCATAGACTTACCTTGCGTTCCTCCTTGCGTCCCGGCCGAAAATGTGAACTGCGCCCACCCCAAGATCCTTTGCGGCCGCCCGAGAATTTTCACATTTTCGGACGGGAGCGCGCAGGGAAGACACAGGTAAGTTTAAACCACTGTTAAAGTGTTGTTTTGTTTTTTCTTTTTACTTTTTGCATATATCTACTGCTTGCTAGCAGTAGATATATGCAAAAAAAGCTGAGGGTTTAGAAACACTTTAAGTAGTTGTGTAGTTTAAGTAGTTAATTCGTATAATTATTTAAGGTGAAGAGAATTTGAGCTGATAATCCTTAGCAGGTTCAGAATTTGGTGTTTCCAGGTGAGCAGAAAATATAACTTAATGGTGTGATCTCTAATATGCACACCATATCAGGATGAAAAACAAAAGGCCTTGGGCAGCAGTAGAGATATACTGTACATCCTCGTCACCAGTCTTGTTGTGTCCTGTAGTCTGGGAAGCAGAGTAGTTATAGAGTGTTTTATTAACAAGTTCAGGCATCCAGGAGTATCAAATGAGGTCACGGTTGAGAATAGATTGTTTCCAGAGCCTGCAGTCTGTGATTGGCTAGGAGGTGAAAACCACATACAGAGGGGAAAACCCAGCTGTGGAACAAGGCACAGGTAAGTGTAAGATCAGGAACAGGAACTGGAAGAAACGTTCTTGTGCACATTATAGAAAGTTTAATACATGTAATAACTGTAAATAACAACATCTACAGCCTAGAGGTACGAACACCACATAATCATCTCATTGTACAAAAGATTCTTTGCATCACAAAAGAGTACATTGGGGGGAAACTATCGAAACTGGTGCAGACAGAATCTGGAGCAATTGCCCATAGTATCCAATCAGCTTTTCTCTTCTATTTGTTCAGTTAAGCTTTGAAAATGAAAGATAGAAGCTGATTGGTTGTCATGCACAACTGCTCCAGTTTTTGTCTTCTCCAGTTCTGACAAATTCCCTTCTATCTGTTTTAATTACACTATCCACTGTATTCCTTGGCCAATATAGGTGGCCTTCTGATTCTTTGAAAATATCTAGGCAGTTGGGGTTCCTGGTCTCCACTTTGGTTGTTATCAGTAAGAATAGGAAAATACCATTTGTCAAATGAAACTTCTGAAAAGTCCTGCCTAAAGCCCCTTTCAGACGGCCGTCCAATTGTGTCCGCCTGTCAGTTTTTCAGATGGACCCGATCGGATACCCAATGCAAGTCTAAGAGCAGCCATGTGTAAACGACGTTTACACCCGGTTACCCCCGACAGTGTTCCATTTCGACGGACCGGATCATGCCGGATCGGGGGTAATCTGATGTAAACAGACACGTCTTTGTATTTTCTGCATACCTTATTTTTCTTTTCTTCCAGTCTTCTGAGTGTGGCCATTTTAACTAAGGGCAGGATACTAGATCTCTCTTTACCTTATTGAACTCTGGCACATGTGACTAGGACATGTGACCATGCACATCATCTCAGGGGATGAAAATGTCTTCCTCTGAAATTTCATGAGATTACAGATGAGATGAATGCTCTGCTGATGCAACCTTCCCAGGATGCAATGCTTGGGCACGATAACATAATTGTGCCACAGTGGACCAGGAAGTGGAAACAAGACATTGTAAGTAAAATAAAAATATGTTTGTTTAGCTAATGAATGTAAGATGATTTCATATCAGCATGCAGTGCTGTATGCTGATGTAATTCTTATTCAAAAGGGGGTAAAGGTCTGCTTTAACTCTAACAAGAGATCCACGCTGAAAGTGTACTTCTCTTGTACCATGTTTTCAGTCAGTATATGGCTTACTTTTATCTTGTTCATTTGTAAAAGTCTTAGGAATTGATGATTTAAGAGGCACTAGACTTTGCAGGAGTTGTATGTCTGCAACATTTGACTGCAATGTAGTAGTTCAGCTGGTGATACTTGTGTAGTTGCATGTCTAGTAGACATGCAAGAACTGCGTAGTAAAAACCTTCAAAGATTTCCCTGTACAATTTGCGGTCTGAAGAGCTTCTTTAAGACTTCTGTTGAACCTCTCAATCTCTTCATTTGCTTGGGGGTAATAAACTGAGGATTTCCTATGCACAATATTTCTGTGTCTCAGGAAGGATTCAAACTCAGATGAAACAAATTGCGGTCCCTTCTCAGACACTAGTTCCTTTGGATTACCTTCCTTGCTGAAGACTGTGGCAGGAAATGTAATTACAGTAGCAGATGTTATATTTGAGACAAATACAATTTCTAGTCATTTACTGTAACATGTTATAGCAAATGGGCAGTCCATAGGTGCCTGTATGAAAGGACTTACAATATCACTAGTAAGCTTCTCCCTAGCAGAATAGCACTGGCTGGAGTAGAGGGGTGTGTGTTACAACAGATCGATTAAGACTCTGACAAGTATTTCAAGATTGAATGGAAGGTACTACTTTGTATCCATGCCTGGCCAGAAGTTTAGTTCTTCTAGTCTTTGCTTTGTTATTACATTTCCTTAGTGGTTCTCATGTGAAAGTTGTATAAGGTGCTCTCTCAAACTCTATGGTACTAGTAAGGGATGAGATCTGCGGGCTATATATCCATCAATGAGAGAAAGTTCATGTCAAATCCTGCAGTACGGCTGTACAACAGAACTGATTTTGCCTATTTGCTTTGTATATTGTCCCCTAATTGTACTTATCCTGGACATGCAAGACAAGCTTGCTTAACCTTAGATTCCATATCTGCATCTACATCACTAAATACAACAACCTTACATTCTTATCCAGTGACAAGACCATACACTAATTGCAGATTTTGTACAGAGAGAAAAAATCCCTGTCCAGTATAGCGGTGCTTTTCTTACTACAATGTACAATGTAGTATTTCGCTTGCACACTAGTTGATTTTAATTTTACAGTCACTGGCAGACAACCAAGCACAGGAATATGGTATCTAAGATAATTAACCAGCTTCAGAATAGGTGCAGTAAGTGGTGGTTTATTTGAAGTCTTGCAAATTACATCACCAGTCTCGTTATGTCCTTAAGTCTGGAAGCCAGAGTAGTTATAATAACTACTTTAATAACACATTTAGGCATCTATAGTATATCATAACGGGAACCTAACATAACAGGAACAGGAATTAGAACAAAGTTGTACAGATTACAGAAAGTATAATGACCTCTCCAGGCCAGAGGTATGAACACCATACTTGGCAGGTAAGCAGAAACCCCTATCCATCAGTCAATGCTATATTTTAAAACTGGACTGTATTGTACCTTTAAGGATTCATTAAATATTCCTTTAATGTTGCAATGGCCGAAAAATATCCTGTGCTCAGCATTTTAGATTAATGAAATCATTTGTGATTCATTGACATTCTTCTTTTTTGTACCATCAGGATATGAGTCATTATCATTTTATGGATTTTGTAAAAGATTTTGCTTTTCCAATAAGCCATTACTAAATTTTCATTTATTAGCTAAAGCAGTTGTTGCATGAACAACTAATAGAGCAAAGCAAAACTACAACGTTTATTTAAATAGCTGAGGCAATAACCTTTTCTGTTTCCTTCATTTTAGGAAATTGAAGAAACTATTCAGAAAGTTGAAGGATGAAAGGACAGATTCTCGGGAGAATAATTTGCACAATTCTAGAGAACATCAACAGTGGGTTCGTGACTACGCTCTGGAGCCTTTTACAGGACTAACACCGGAATACATGGAGATGAGTAAGGGCTAGCTTATGTGCACTGTTTGTATTGTTCTGAATGATAGATCATTAGTGGTATATGACTATTTGTGTAGTTATGGTAATACGCTATATGGCCAAAAGATTGTAGACACATGAAAGGTGTCATCACACCTATGTAAACTTGTTGGACAACCTATTCCAAAATCATGGGCATTAAAATGGAATTGCTTAGCATACTTGTATCGTGTACTTGAATGGAATTCACCTCTAAAATTGTTGAATCGTTGGTGAATCAAACCTGAGCAGATTCGCCAATCATTCATTTTAAGTGCATAAGCACAGTTTTCGCTGGGTCCCCCTGCGAAGTCCCACAAGAACCTGTTCATCCTGCCACTTAATGCAGCTTCCTGGGATGGTGTAGCAACAATGCTACACTGCTTCTGGATTCAAAACAGAGTTGCCACTCCCATGTAGGCTGTGCCTGCTTGCACTACAGTAGGGTGAGAAGATGTTTGTAAAGGCTGTGACTTTCAGCATTGTCACAAGTCTGTAGCTTGGCAATCTGCCCCTGACCACACCTAGTCCTGCCCACTGTTTTCTGGATTGACAGTACTGCTTCTGTTGCTGAAATCTTCCCACTGTGATCTGCAGTGTCTGGGAGGGGGAGCATGTAAGATACAAATGAAGGAGGATTTGGCTCAGACAGTCAAGGGAAAGGACGAGGCTTGTGCATCACAAAATAACAGGTTTCAGTACTTGTTTACATTGTAATGCAACAGCCCCTAGTGTTACTTTAACGGGCATATTTAAAAACAAAACAGTAAAACTGACATTTACCAAACATTTATTGCAGGTAAATCTTCCAGGCACATATGTTTTAAATGACAGTGATTGATTCACCACAAGTGAATGTTTGGTGAAAGTCAGATTCACTGTTTTAGAAATATGCCTCTTAAGTGTTAGATTGTGCTTTAGGCTGGGTTCACACCTAGGCATATCGAATATGCGCGTCTGTCACGCGTTTTTACCGCGATTCGCGGTAAAAACAACGTGTGACAAACGTGCGTTTCCGAAGGCTACCTGGCTGTATTCCAATGGATACGTGTGGCAAATACGCCCCAAAGAAGCTCCTGTACTTCTTTGGGCGTAGGGCGTTTTGCAGTGCGTTCCTACACGCTGTGAAACGCCCAGGTGGGAACCATGCCCATAGGCAATCATTGGTTTTTACATGTTGAGCGTTTTACAGAGCGTAGGAACACGCTGTAAAACGCCCAGGTGTGAACCAGGCCTTAGTGTTAGAGACAGTTTGCAACAGGAAGACATTTCAGGGCTAGGTAAACCTTGATTTTATGTTTGTTTTCTTTTTTTTTTGCTGTTTGTATCCCATTAGGGAGATTTCCCTTCTTTTCCAGAGACACAATAGGAAGTAAGAGTAAATATCTCCAAGGTAAATATGCTCTTAGTCATCTCTGGAACAATTACTCCCATTGGAAGATGTTCCCAAAACCAGCAGTTAAACCTTCCCTTCCTCAATCTACAAAAAATAAATATTATGGCGTTATTTGAGATAAACTTCTTTGCTGCCACTGATGTAAAACTTACATTGCGACCAGATTCCCAGCTGTTATGCTTACACTTCTTCTGCAGGCTGTCAGCTTTCTGTGAAAAGTGGTTCAGGTGGCTGTAAAATGGCTCAATCCCTTTTACAGCCTATGGAAGGTGCCTCCTATCCTTCTATGCATTCAAAGCTCCACTGCCCCCATGGCAAGTGTCAGCAGGGAGAGCGGAGGATGATCAGTTCACTGAGCATGCCAGCAGTGAATGAAGCTGGAAGAGGCGAGCTTATCGCCACTTCTGGTTTCATATCTGTCATTCCCCAGCTGCTGTGTGCTTGACTAACTTTAGTGTAGTTGTAACTCGTATATGAAGGTAATCAAAGTTAGTAATATGTTGGTGGAAAAAAGTGCAGGTTACTCACATGTGGATAGGTAGCACTAAACTATTGTTATGGTCTTAAAACCTGCCCTTATGCTTGTGGAGGATAGGTTTGTCTCCAAGCAAACCTTTATCAGTGATGGTTGTCTTACTCAATGCATTGGGAAAACGAAACCTTTGTCCCTCTTTGTGAACGTCATATGTGTTGGTTGATGAAATTGTCAGGGGAGTATCTCAGAAATCCAAGTCAGCGTTGTGTTGCAGAGGCGCCCTGCATCCTTGTGTTGAAGAGGTTAGTCGAGAGATTTCACAACTTCAGAAAAAGGTCCGTGTTGGAACGTGTTATATATTGTTTTAATTCCATAAAGGGGATGTTTTTTGTACACATGAAATCTCTTCAACATGTTAATGCCGGCCACCACTGCAAAAACAAAGCGAACTGGGATTTATGAGATATTTCCTTGAAAATTTATAGAGAAATACTGTTTTAATTATTTCCTTTAAATGGTAACATCAGTTACAGAAGATTCTGATTTGAGGGTCAAAAAATGCCAGACTTGAAAGAATGTCAAAACTGTATCAAATAATAGGCCATATTTCATGCCTGCTGGGATATTATTGCCTATTTTACTCTACAACCATAATGCAAGAAAGCATGGCCATCAGTGGTAATGGTGCATTAGGCTGGATATAATTAACGGCTTGGTGCACACAATTGATATTTTGCAACTGACATGCTGTGCAGATCCGATTTATTTTGTAAACTGAGCACCCAGTCTTCTACATATACACCATGTATTTTGATTGATAGTGACCACATTTTAACTGTAACACCAGACATAGCCCCGTCGCAGCTTGACCTATGAGTAACATGCTGATTTCAGATGGACACTGTTTAGAAGCAGTGTGAAGAATCGAAAACAAAGACTTTAACATGGTATCATTGTTCTCTAATTAGGGTTAATAATAGTTAGTGGGAGTTACATGTCATCCATAAAAGAATCATTGTCAGCTGGATATCTGTGATGCTGAGTGAGTGATAAATAATTAGACATGGTATCACTGTGGTTTCAATAAATCAGAACCATTGTTTAGGTTATTTAAATGCAATGACTTTATTTTGAAGCTGAACTCCAGGAAGAGATTGAAGACACAAACTAATGCAGCTCTGTGTTCATTAATATTTCATTAACCGTACATTTTTAGTTGCAATTAGTGATGAGCTGAACAGGTCCGAGTTCGGTTCGAATTCGAACTTTAGAACATCCAAAAAGTTCGAACTCTAACTCATTGCAAGTCTATGGGAGTAGAACTTTCAAAAATAATTGTTCCCTTTAGGAGGACTGATATGCAAGTTATTGGCCATAAAAGTGTATGGGTACTGCCCTGGGGGACAGGAATCAATGAAAAAAAAACTTTTTAAAAATACAGTTTTTAAAGGAGCAGTGGTTTTAACATCACTAAAAGGGTAACAATAAAAATGAAAAATTCCCTTAAATATCGTGCCTGTGGGGGTCCACTTAAACTGCCTGTAAAGTGGCAAATCTGTACAATGTAAAGAACCTGCTGCAGCAAAACTGACATTTCTAAAGAATTTTTTTTTCTCTATGTTTAAAGTGTGCAGTTCTCCCTCCCAAACAATACCACACCCTTTAGGTCTGGTAGGAATGTTAAGAGGGACCAAATAAAAATTTTTTTTAAAAAAGCAAGTGGTTCCCCCCAAAAGTCATACCAGACCCTTAAGGTCTGGTAGGAATATTTAGTAGGGACCCTGTGTAAAAAAAAAAGTGTGTGGGGTTACCCCTCAAAGTCATACCAGACCCTTAAGGTCTGGGAGGAATATTGAGGAGGGACCCCATGTAAAAAAACAAACAAAAAAGAGTGTTGGGTTCCCCCTTAAAGTCATACCAGACCCTTAAAGTCTGGTAGGAATTTTAAGGAGGATCCCCACCCCCAAAAATGTGGGGTCCCCCTTAAAATTCCATATCAGACCCTTGACCCTTGATCCGAGCATAGGCTTGGCAGGGCAGGAAAGTGGGGGACGAGCGAGCACCCCCCCTCCCACACCAGGCCACATGCCCTCGGTACTGGGAGGGTGCTTTTCCAGGGTCGCCTCTGGAAAAGCAACTTGTCCTTGTGCCGATGGGGACAAGGGCCTCTTCCCCACAAGTACTGGGGTGTTGGTTGTGGGGGGGCGGGCAGGGTGCTTATTCACATCGGGGTACCCCTTTAATAAAGGGGCACCCAGATGACACACCCGTTCACTTATGACGAACACCCGCCGCATAATGGCATTTTGACAAATGCCTGTAGCATATAAACATTTTGGGCAGAGCTAGCAGTGACAGCTAGCTCTGCCCAACTGTTTACAGTTGTGACAGGTGAGCCATGATTGGGCAGCGTCATCATGACTTTGTCCAATGATAGCTTCCCAGTTCTCTGTGCCCTGAGTGGGCAAAGTCTTGAACCTGACCTGTGGTCAGGTGCAAGGCTTTAGCCAATCAGGGCTCACAAAGCACAGTGCCTTGTGCGGGATGCTCGGTAGGCAAACAGCCCGCCGAACACACGAACTGCCGATGTTTAAGACGAACTCACGATCAGCTCGAACATCGAGCCCAACCTTAGTTGCAAGCACTGTAATAACCTGAATACGACATGGTATTGGCCACTTGCAGTCTCTTGTACAGCAGAAATCAGAGAGGGGGAAGGATAAGCAGCACAAGGATCAGTCGTGCTGCAGTGAAAGAAACATGCTGATAGGAGGAGAGAGCTGCTTCTTCTTTCACTGTCCAATACAAGACAGTGAAAGAAAAAGCATCCAAAAGGGCTTAAAGACTAGTATAATCCTGGCACTGACAGCAATAGAATCCCGACTATGGGGATCTAAACTTCCCAACCCATCCAAAGCTGGAAACCTGTTTCCTCTTTATGGACAAAGGGTTTATATTTAACTGGTCTGTACAATTAACCCGTACACTATTTAGTCATGAATAGCATTATTCACAAGATATTAAAAATCACATAATGATTGGTGAGGTGGTCATAAAGAAATGGCAAAAATGTTAGTTTTAGAGCCAACAAGCAGAATGGTATCTAGGTGCT